CTTCCGGCTCGGGCAGCGGTGCGTGGGGAATTTGAAGCGATTGCCGAACTTCTTCTCGCACAATGTCGGCGATTGAATCCATTTGAGGCTGCGCCGAAGGCAACAGCTTGCGCAGCTCTTCCCGCACGATCGCTCGGATCGTTTCACGCAGGTCTCCGGAGTTACTGGCTTGAGCAGCAGCGCAGTCTGCAGTCAGTTGACGATTATATTGTCTGGTGCGCATGTCCAGGGTCTTTTCGATTGTGGTCACTTCGGCTACAAATTCTTGGACGGTTTTCGGTGGATTTCTCATCAGTCCCGCGAAGAGCTCCTGTTTGACCCCTCGCATGAGGAAACGAACTTTTTTCTCCTCAGGCATGTCTGGGTCAGTGTGACGAAATAGTCGGGTCATTTCTTCTGTGAAAATGGCGACATTTTCATTTGGTAGCTGAACCCGGGTCTCTAATAAAGCAGCGGCCCTCTCCTTGCGAGCGATGCTCGCGAACAATTGCAGGAATGCGCCGCAGAAAACATCCCACGTTCGGAGCGTGGACTCCCGATTTTCGAGCCAGGTCCTTGCGGTGTCTTCCAAATAGAAGAACACACGACGCAGCTTTTCGTCATGGTCCTAGTGGTTGAGGGCGGCCACACGGTCGTATGTTTCTAGCCAGGACTCCGGGTCTTCGAACGATGACCCATGGAAAATTGGTGGTTCCCTGGGTTGATGCATGACCATCGTGGGCTGGAACGCTGCGGTTGTCATTGTCGCTGCAGTCGCGGTCATGGCCTTGGTCTTCCACGCCTTGTCTTGTAGAAGCCCGTACTCCGGTGGTAGCTCTTGCTGTCGGCGGCTTGTTCGCTGCTCCTGGTTGGCGTCGGTGTCTTCTCCGCGACGTGGGCTGGGTTCACGGCTTGACGGGGGCGTCCAGTACATGAACGAAGCAGTACCTCCACCAGATGTCACGGGGTCGTGACGTGGCCGAATATAGGAGACTTCGTGTTGGGATTTAACTGTTTATTTGGGCGAACCTGTGCCCGGTAAACGGAAAGTCCAATTACAGCAGCAGTCTCGCACAGATAGCAGTCTCGGACTGATAGCGGCGAACGGAGCGTCGGCCTTCGATCAACAACTGACAAGCGGCGAAGCGCGTCGGCATTTATACTCTTGCCGTCGAATGTTCTAGCGTTATTGCTGGCGGTGGCGTAGGTTCCAGAACATACTGTACCGTTCGCACAGTGGGCGTGATCTTATCAAAATGATCTACTACAGTCCGGAACCTTCTCGAAAACTGCAGGCGCGGTTTGCGCTGAGAATCGTGTGGTGTTTTGGGACGATAACAAAAACTTGGGAAATGGAACGTGGCATTATGCTCAAAAACAAAGTGAACGTGTTGATAGATGGAATACCGACGATGGCGTTAAGTTAACACTGGGGCGACTGTGTCAGTGATGAGCCTCGCCTTCAGAAACCGCTTAAGTCGCAAAGTCATGTTTTCATGGAACGATACTATTACCTTTCGTGGTGTAAGCAACGAGTAGCTTCATCCTCTTGGTGTAGGTGTTGTCAGTGTTTCATTGGCTGGGAAGGTATTTGTATCCAAATTTCTGGTTCGATCTCGTTGTTCGCACGATATCATTCTTGGTATCAATTTTCCGGAGCAATGCGGTGCTTCCGTCGATTGTGGTAGTGGGGAGATATCATTAAACAATTTGTTTCTCCCATCGCTTTCGGAAGAAGGCTACCGTGGCGGAGACAGGAACACACTTGGTGTGATTGATGAAGTGATAGCACCATGTTGGTGCCTGACACTCGTTCGAGTCTCTTCCACAGTGGTTGATGCTGCTTGTGTTGACCTTGTAGTGGGGCCTCTGCCCAAGAACTGTTCTATGAAGACATATTTGTGCCCTGTTCTGTTGTGTGAAACAAAAGGAGTAGCAACATTGTGGGCACTGAACTGTTCTGCCATGCCGGTTGTGCTTCCTCGGGGGATGGAGGTCGTTCTCTTCGATGAGGGCTCACGCAGCTCGATAGCGGCACTAGTTGCGGACCTAACCATCTCTTCCTCTCCTTGTGATATTCTCCACAATGAAGATCTAATGCTCGGTATGATCAGCAAGGCTCTCAGTACAACAGAATGGCAAGCGCTGGTACAGGTCCTTTCCCGGCATGTTGCTGCTCTCAACTTCAAACATAGAGATGCACCCCTTCAGTTACCCTCGCCCTGCGCTCGTCACAGAATAAACACCGGCTCTGCACACCCCATCTGCCAAAAGCCCTATTGAGTGTCATCCTCTGAGCGCAAAGTTATCACCGAACAAGTAAAGCACATGCTGAACAAAGGTGTCGTGTAAGAGTCGTCCAGCCCGTGGGCAGCCCCGGTAATTCTTGTCAGGAAAAAGGATGGTTCCTGGAGATTCTGCATAGATTACAGGCGTCTAAACACTGTGACGAAGAAAGATGTATATCCCTTACCGGGGATTGATAACTTCATAGACTGCTTGCATGCTGCCTCTTATTTTTCAACGCTTGATTTGCGATCTGGTTATTGGCAAATACCTATGGAACCCGGCGACAAAGAAAAGACTGCTTTCGTAACTCCAGATGGCCTACTTGAATTTAATGTAATGCCTTTTGGCCTTTGTAACGTTCCTGCGACCTTTGAACGATTTATGGACACAGTATTACGTGGTCTAAAATGAGAAATATGCATCTGCTACTTTGACGATGCTGTGATCTTTGGTCGCACGTTTGAAGAAAATAACAACCATCTCAGTCTTGTACTCAACTGCATAGAAAAAGCTGGGCTGGTTCTGAATTTAAAAAAATGTCGCATTGGTGAACGTCAAACTCTGGTGCTGAGGCACTTAGTCGACAAGGATGGCGTCAGACCCGATCCTCGCAAGATAGAAGCAGTGAGCTCTTTCAAACCACCACAGTCTGCCTGAGAACTTCACTCACTTGTAGGCCTAGTAGGCCTATGCTCACATTTCCGTCATTTTGTTCCACGATTTGCGGAGATCGTGTACCCGATGACAAGCACCTTGCAACAGGATGCGACCTTCAACTGGACACCAGTGTGTGATGCCGCATTCTTCCAACTCAAGTTTGTACTAACGTCAGCACCACTGTTGCGTCACTTCGATCCATCTTGCCCGACTGAGGTCCACACTGACGCTAGTGATACCGGCGTAGGAGCGGTGCTTGTACGTCGTCACAGTGGCGCAGAGCATGTCGTGGCATATGCCAGCCATTGCCTGAGCAAATCTGAACGCAATTACACAGTTACAAAACAGGAATGTCTGGCAGCTGTTTTTCGCCGTGCAGAAGTTTCGTTGCTATCTTTATGGGAGGCCATTTAAGATAATTACCTATCATCATTCGTTATGCTGGTTGGTCGATTTGCGTGATCCCTTTGGCCGCCTCGCACGTTGGGCGCTGCGACTTCAGGAATAAGACTTTACAATGTTGTACAAGAGTGGCCGTCGTCACGCTGTGTCAGACTGCCTCATCCCGGATTCCTCTTGCGACGACCGACTGCGATGCTGAGAATTTTGACGACTGCCCTACTGCTGTTACAAGCACATTCCCCGACGCGGCTGACTTCCAGAGAGAACAACGCAACGATGTCAACCTGGATCCGTACCTCCCAACACAGTGGTCGCTTTACGGTTCAAGACAAGTTGCTCTACAAGACTAACTACTCCATACCTGGAGCACGTTTTCTGTTAGTTGTCCTCGAGAGCCTTCGCTCTGATGTACTACGTTCTATGCATGACGATGCGACATCTAGTCATTTTGCTTTATACGAACGCTGCACCGCACGCAGGAACGCTTTTACTGGCCCAAGATGTATGAAACAACGAAGCATTACGTCGCTAGCTGCGAGACATGCCAACGCTTCAAGCGCCCGGCCACCACAACACCAGGTCCCCTTCAGCGATTAACACAACACAGCATGCCTTTTGAACAAGTAGGAATTGACATTCTGGGTCCATTTCCGTTATATAACAATAAGAACCGTTGGATAATCATCTGCGTGGATCATCTTAAGCGGTATGCTGAAACCGCATCCATTCCCTTTTCTACCGCTGCTTCAGTGGCAGTCTTCTTGCTCCACTCTGTGGTTCTTCTCCATGGCCTACCGTGTGTTATTTTCAGTGACCGTGGCCCCGAGTTCACTGCTGGTGCCGTTGAAGAATTACTTCACATGTGCACAACACAGTTCCGTCATTTTACACAGTATCATCCGCAGACAAACGGCCTTGTTGAATAGACAAACAGAACGCTGATCAACCTGCTTGCCGTGTATTTTTCCTCCAATCACAAGAAGTGGGATGACGTGCTGCTTTTTATCACGTACACGTACAACACGGCGAAATTTGTTGTATGCCAGGTTGCCTCTAAGCCTTCTGGGCACTTTCTTACCCTTTATTCTACACAAGGACGATTCTATATCGAACACCTTGTGCCTCCCCAAAAAAGCCCGCCGAATTGCTCGTCTTCGCACTCAGGCCTCTCAACGTCGTTCGAAAGAACAATACGACGACCGTCATGAACCAGTATCCTTCGAAAAAGGTGACTTAGTGCTGCTTTGGACACCGCAACGCAAGCGTGAACTGTGTCAAAAGCTTCTGCCATGATATTCAGGCCCATTTGTAGTTTTGGAGCGTTTCAGCCAGCTCACCTATGTAATAGCTCATCTTTTGTCCAATGGTCGACGATCGATCAGAACGCAGCTCACTCACATTGCTCACCTAAAGCCTTTCTACTTTCCTTGTGCATCATAACTCGCCCTATGGGCTTCGTCTGCTTGCTGGGGAAATGTAACAGACATGTGAACTGCAGAGAAGAGAAAGGGAGAAAGACGAAGAGGGCTTGGCAAGATTGCAGTGCGCTACCGCGAACGACCCGCGCTCACCTCTTGCAAGTAAAAACCATTTCATCACAACTCGCTGTAAGAATATATATATATATCACTTAATCCTATCTCGGGTCCCCATATAGACTGTAATAAGCCCACCTGAAGTAAGGCTGGCAGCTTCGCCGAAGAAGGAAGGCCACAAGAGACAATGCCTCCTGACCCCAGCAGCTCCTTGCACATTGACACAAGTGGCGCAAGAGCAGCATACTCTGTAGAGAAAAGAACAAAAAAATTAGTGATCAACTACTACTCATTGTCACCAAGTTAATAGTGCACCCTGGCAGAAACACTCACTTATCACTCATATATCAACTAACAATTGTTATTGGTCAAGCTTGGATCGATGTCAAACATTAAAGTATAGACTACATGAAGAAAAGTGGCCTACTTTATTTGTTGGTGAACGTCCAACCTCTGAGAGTGGAATATTTTCTTCAGTGGCAATGTGCATAATTATACACATAAATTGTGAACGCATCTTACAGACAGCATGCCTTCAAATCGCCAGTGTACATTTGTGCAGGTTTCCTGAGTGAATATCTAGTAGTCATTTATAGGCTTGTGCGAATAGTGCATTTTAGGTTAGAAGCGAATTTGAAGCAAATAGTATTTCGGTCAAATTACTTCTAATCGAATTTAAATAGTGTATATGACATACAAAAAAATGGGCATATTTATTATGACCTAACTAACCTGTACAATATTCTTTTTTAAATTCGAATGAGGCCTCTATGCAAATGCCTTTTTTTCACTCAAAGGAAGCCGAAAGAACTTTGAGTAGCAGCAGGCTCAGACTTTCGGTATGATGCGAGCTGATAACCTGTATAATATATAACAGTTAAAAATCTATTATACTTAGGGCATATAAGCCAACAAGCTTTTAAGGAAAAAAATAATGAATAATTTTGAGGAAAATATGCTCATTTAAAGAAGCCCTGCAACATTTTTTAAAGTAGCCATGGAATAGATTCACTAAAGAAGCTTATTGCCCCACAAATAGCACCACCGCAAAAATTTTTAGGATCCGTCCAGTACGAGTAGAGTTGCAAAGACTTATCACACGCTGCAATTGCGTTCTCTCTTCTCGCGTCCTGGCAAAAGCCTTGGAAGCTGAGCAGAAAGGAATGGCAAGGGGAATGAAAATGCATCACACACGCCCTGTGACCCTGGAGCACTTTCTTCCTCTTTCTTTTCGAATGCATGGCTTTTCAGTGGGATTGTGCACATACATGTGTACAAGTGGCAGCGTCTCGCAGCGGCCCCAGAAACAACCGAGCACGCTATGCTCAAATCAGCCATCAGCCGTTGGCTGACAGAACAGCTCTGACGAGTTATTTTCGGCCTCGTGATGCCATTTGTCAGGAGAAGAGAGCAATCTTTTAGCTGACCGACAATTCGATGTGAACTGCAGGGCACATGGTGTGCCATAATATTTGGCCCGCGTGTTCTCGGTAGCTACGACCATTGATCGGCAGCGTTGGCTGACCATGCTCAGTAAGTGTAGCAGGGACCCTTTAAATTGTAAGTGGGGCTTTGCGACAGAGCACATTTCTCCTAAACAGGTGTTTTCACGGCTTAACACCCGCACACTGCAGTGAAACACCATCTTTACAGGTGATTATTTACATGCTGATTGATAGACACCTAATCATTCATTGTGAATACTTAGAAATTTTCAATAATTCAAATCAGGATCGAAACGAATTCGAATACTCTACTATTCATTCGAATATTCACACAAGCCTAGTCATTTAACTTGATCGAGCTGCATACTGCTGCGGAAGATCACTTTGCTGGGGACACTACCATGTGAACAATCGTTCTATGTGCCGTGCCTTGTTCAATACATTATTCCACAGACACACATGTACTAGGAATAAGAGCAAAATCAAGTGGGCTGCTGTCATGATAACTTCAGAGCTAAATGTGTGCTTTAAATAGAGGCAAGCCAACACAATAAAAAAGGGCGGTCACTGGGAAGACAAAGAATGTGATTACCTGCTGTCTTGGTGAAGCGACCCTCTGGAGCTCAAGTGCACTGCGGCAAATGTCTGCGATGCATCTGCATGCAAAAGACAAGTGTAGAGGCTGGCTGGCAATATAAATTCTTCATAAAATATTTCTTTCACTTATCCAAAGTCCAACCCACAAATCTGACCAAGCTGACTCCTGAATGAACAGTTAGTTTGTCAGTCGGTTGGGCTGCACGGTGGAAAACTTGGGCACACTACACGAAAACACTACGGAAAAAGGAACACAAGAACTACCAAAGACAAACAACTGAACTTTATTTTTCAATACCAATGTACATACTGCAAATATAGAAACAGAAAACACCAATTCACTGGGCCGGCTGTTCTTTCTGACTTCATTTTCCTTTTTACTTGTGCTAGTCAAGCCCGAGGGCCCAAGCTACCCTGCCCCTCATCGTCATCACACTCGGCCATGACTGCAAATAAGCGAGCCACGAACATCTCTGGTGGTCAATGCTGGCTGTGGTGCCGTGGTGAGTCGATACAACCCTGGAGTTCCGCTGAGTGCTTTGCCGGTGACACCTGTGGTGGTCGACACTGCCTAGAAATTGGTGGTCTGTTCTGGACACATTGCGATTTGGTTTCGACAGACAGAAGTGTGTCTGGAGGATCAAACTTGCTCCACCACTGTGGTTCGGTTTTGGTTACGCATGAACTTTTTTGCAGCTAGCAACCACATATTTGCTGGTGGGCCTTGGCTGTATCGTGAAGTAAGCGCTAGACGCAGCATGCAAGGAGAAAGCGTACGCTTCTTCAGGATAAAAAAATGTTGTGTCAATGGGCTCTGTGTTGAACGGCAGAGCAACTTGTATGCGCTTGTCCTCAAGAACCTTGTCCCTAAACATGAGATAATTGAGGTTGCATTTGGTCAACCAATGCTCTTGAATGAGCAGAAGCGGCTGCAATGGGTCTGCAAGCACAGTGATCTGCTCTTCTGGCACCCTTGCGAAGGGTGTGCGGTACCCAGGAGGTACTGGCACTAGTGCGAAGCTGGCGGCGATCTGTAATATTGTCGAGGAATTCGAGATCTTTGGCTAGGTATACTATGTATTGCGTGGTTTTCTGTGCAGGAGCTGCAGGCTACAAATGGAAATTAAGGTTTCATGCTTCTCAGCAGTGTGATCACTGTGAAAAAGGCTGGTTGATGCAGGACAAAGCTACACCGCCTGACCTTTCCATCAAGGTGCTGTTGGAGACCCATGGACAACAAGGGTGGTGCGAGCTAACAGGCCATAGCTGGTCCATCGAGTTGGTACACATCGCAACTCCCATCTTTCGCGGAACGGTGGTCGTGTCAATGTGGAACCCGACTGAGAACAACAATAAAGCTGCGACCCAGGAAAATTGCTTTCATACTTGTGCCACGACTAAGCAGCAGCCTGTTCTGTGACTAGCAGGCCTCACGAGCTCCAAAACTGTTGATAATCGCCACTCAATTGTAGGGGTCATCCTGAAATTTGAGGTAGTGGCATGTGAGGGGTCGCTGCTCAGCTGCCAGCCCATAAAGAGGTCACATGCTACGTGAAGCCAGCAGGCAGAAAGAGTGCTTCACACTCGACATCATGACTATGAGCAGCACTGACGAATATAACAGGGACACAGAAATAAAGTGTCGTTTCATTTACCTACACATCGTTGATCCTGTGCCTGAGATGTGAATTCTCTGCACAAATGGAAATGTGCTGGCCAGGAAAATAATGGAAATAAATTAAAAGAAAAGGAGCATTGCTCATGCACCTACAGTAGACTTAAATTTTTAATTTTGGTTGCTTCGCAATGTTGTCTATATATCCCAAAGCCACTGAATTCAAGTTGCTCCATTATGTCAGTATTGTAATGAAAATACACGAAAAGTGCTTCAACATAAAGTCGAACACCGTTATATCGAAACTACATATATCGAATTTTCGAATATATCGAACTCGCAAGTTATCCCCTTGAAATTCTATTGTAAAAGTATAGAAATTTGCACACTTATATCGAACGGTAGTTTTACCCGCCTTCGGATATATCGAACGCCGTGCAAGCTGGCAGGTGCACTTCAGCACTTGATTCCCCCCCCCCCCCTCCCCCATCACCGCGGCAGTGCAGCTTCGCACACAAGTTGGAAGGCGCGCTTTTAGCCCTCGCAGCAGCACCCAGCGACCTCTGCCAGCGCGGCACCACGTCTTCGCCAAAACTCAAAACGCTCAAAAAAGATAAGGGTGAGAGCGCTCGGACTGCGCAATCTCTGCCTTGCGGAACGGCTCCGCGTACACGTTGGCTCTGAGAACAAGAACGAAGTATCCGATGTCCTCCTCCTTTTGCCTTTTATTTTTTGTTGCTGTCTTGCAAGGTTTGATCAGCCAACCACAGCTCACGCCTTTTGCTGTTGCCCTCGCAAGTAGCCCTCGCCTCTAAAGCGCTTTGTTGCTTTCGAGCTGTCACGACGCCTACGTACCACCGCATGTGCAGCATTCCTCTTTTGCATGCGTGATGTGCAAAGCTGCTGTGGACTCCCTGAATTGTCGACTTCTTGTGTACCTGTGGCCAGCGTCAAAAAGCGCAAGATTCTTGACTGCGATGAAGTTAAAGGCTATTCAGAGTGATAAGGCAGGCGAGAAATGTTCGAAATATCGTGGACGACTTCGGGATACCACGGAGCACTCTGTGTACCTTGTTGAAAAACAAGGCAGATATCAAGGCAAAGGCGGAGAAGCAGCAAACGTCGAAAGCCTGTAACAGAATAGAAAGTTGGGCGAGTTGGTGTGTATTCATATTAAAAGAAAAGCAGCGCACAAAAAGACGGAGACAAAGAAGAGGACCACACACAGCGCTGCACTCACAACTGAAAGTTTAATCCGAGCAACAAGAATTTAAAAAGAAAAGCCGCGCATGAAAAGTGAGGTACAACGAGATTAAATGATACGCTCATCAATAAAAGTGAACTCTTTTTTGTGCAATGTAACCGAGGTCTGGCACGTGTGGGTGCACACCTGATCTGTCTAATACTGTTATTATTTTTAACCACCACGATCAATTCACCCATGAGGTGTCTGAAGTCTATCATATTAACAAGTCACGTGATGCTTGCGTAAGCCAGACCTCGGTTACATTGCACAAAAAAGGGTTCACTTTTATGGATGAGTGTATCATTTAATCTCGTTGTACCTCACTTGTCATGCGCGGCTTTTCTTTTTAAATTCTTGTTGCTCGGATTAAACTTTCAGTATTGAGTGCAGCGCTGTGTGTGGTCCTCTTCTTTGTCTCCGTCTTTTTGTGCGCCGCTTTTCTTTTAATATGAAGCCTGTCATGTGCGTACTTATGCCCACGGGAATGTAGAAAAGGCACTCTATGTCTGGTCTTTAGAAGTGCGCGCGAAGAACATTTCGGTAGATGGCTCGATGCGGATCGCCAAGGTCAAATGGCTTGTCGCTGTACAAGGTGAAACAACTCCGCTGACAACAGCGGGTGGCTTCACCGATTTAAGCAGCGCTACAACATCGTTGGCAAAGCCATTTCTGGCGAAAGCGAAGCTGTCAGCAGCCAGGACATCCAGCGGTGGATGACGAAGGAGTGGCCAGAAATTCCCCGAACTTTTCTTCGACGGAGATTTTAAATGCCTGGCGAGATGTGAAGATGGACACAGTGGTCAACTGCTTCCGCAAAGTAGGCTTCGAGACGGCAAAACTTGCGGAAACCGATGAAGACGACGACAAGCGCATAGACGACATGTTTCGCGAGCTGTGATAAGATCAAGACTAGGGTCCTCAACATTTCAAAAACGAAGAAGCAGGCCAAGGTGACAGATTTTTTTTTTCACGCAAATAAATGATTCTGTTGCAGCGTGTGTGCGGAATCAGTTGTCATTCTTGAATGCACCTATTGTAGGTGATGATCCGCTACAGGTAAGCTCTTGGAGCCTCTATTTTTTCATAACGAATTTTTCATATATTGAACTGATTCGCGATCCCGTTCGAGTTCGATATATCAGTGTTGGACTGTATATGCAAGTGGTGTATGCTGTATAAAGACTAAACAAGAATTTAGGTTTAATGTTACAATGAATTTATTGAAGCGAACTGCACAGGGTGATTCACATGCAACACTTTTTCCGGTTCATCAAATAAACCATTACGCATCCACCCACATTAAAGTGAAAATGTGTTCTACACCACACAGTCCATGTGCATCGAGCTGTCGATGAATTCACCCTTGCGCTATCCTAGTGAACCACTAATATCCTGTCAACATAGAAATAAGATCCATACGTCTACAACTGTCGATAACATCTAATCGACATCCCCATAATGTGCCATTCTTACAGTCTAAAGAGCCTACGTATTATTAACCTCGTATGCACTTCTCTCAGACAAAAACTAGACGTAGCAAATGATGTAGCAACATCAAATGCACCCCAGAATTTTCCGTCATCTAAAACAGCATTAGATCACGCTTTGAATAATAATATATACTGGCATGTAAAATCTAGAAAGGGCTCGAACATAAATGGACATGTTCGTCGAGCTTGCATAATGCACACACTTAGATGCGCAAGGAGATAAAAACGCGAGAACGACCATAAAATTAACAGGTGTCCCGTTAGTGCTGCCAAACATTATAGCGCGAAACCATGCTGCCCGACGGTGCTTTTAAGTGTGAAGAACTTTTGGGGCCTGGGCTCTTGTCGCTTGGCGTAATGCAAGCAAAACCACATAAAAAAGCAGGAAAGATGAAGCAAGTGATAAATAGAAAGAGATGGAAAAAAAAGAAATAGGAAGAAAAGTAGAAAGGGCAAGAGAAATGGATAAAAAATAGAGGAGAAATAAAGACAGAAAAAGCTGAGAAAGAAAAAAGAAAAAGAGGAGGAAAGAAAGCTCAAGAGAATCAAAGCAGACTTATTCCCAGCCCCGCACTTCCTTTGGGCTTGCTGCACGTATAGTTTTGTGCGCTAGAGACCTGCGCTCCCACTGCAGTCTGGCTCTTAGCTCGTGTGCTACACTTACAGAAAGCATCAACACCGTGAGGCTGGCCTGAAATATGTTGCCTGACAGCAATTCGGCCAGCCTCATCACACTGTGGTGGTCTAGTGGCTCTCGGCCGCTGATCCGCAGGTCGCAGGTTCGAATCCTGGCTATGGCGGCTGCATTTTCAATGGAGGCGAAAATTCTGTGGGTTCGTGTGCTCACATTGAGACGCAAATTAAAGAACCCCAGGTGGTCGAAATTTCTAGAGCACTCCACTCCGCGTCTCTCATAATCATGTGGTGGTTTTGGGACATTAAACCCCACACATCAATCGATCCTGGCAAGCCTCGTGCCTTTGATCCTTCCTATAAAGTAAAGCTGAGTGGCAATGAGCAAGACTGCCATGGGACCGTAGGTCTAACACACCAACTACAAGCGGTGAGCATGCAAAGTGCATGAAAATAGCTTTTAATTACTATATGACAATGTCTATGCATATCTATTGAATGTCTATTTAGTGTCCATGTGCAACACACTTGCAACCTCAGTCGGCCAAGCTTTTCATAGTTGCGGGTACATCTAATCTTCGTAATTTGGATTTTAATGAATATCTAAGAGACACTTACAATGTCCATAAGAAACATACCACAGATGTCTACAAAATATTTGTGGTTCACTGGGATCAAGCGCTAGCTACCCGGTTAGTTCAGTTGGTAGAGCGACTGCCCCGGAAAGGCATTAGTCCCGGGTTTAAATCCCGAACCAGAACGAATCTTTCGGCAACTAAGAAGCTTTTCTTTCTCAGAAACCCGTATAGATTTCCTTGTGGCTTCAGGCTACACTGAACCCTCGATATAACAAAATAGTGGTTATAACATTATAAATAAATGAATAATAGTATTGTAAGAGGTATAACTTTGTTATAATGAGGTTTGAGTGTACAACCAGGTGGTTGTCTTCTTTCTTGACCTTTCTGCAGAACTCATTTTCAATACGAACACTGCATGCAGCATTGCAACATGAAGTCGAGATTTTGATGAAAGCCGGTCTGATCGTGAAGTAATGTGTAAACTTGTGGAAGAAGGCGACCATAATAAAAAAAGAGGTTTCAGTTTCAACTGAACATGGTTCCCAGTCGTCTTTGCAAACAATGAACACTTGAAGCGATCCCGCACGAAGAGGTGATTGAGAACAACAGTGGTGCACTATCTTTGGCTAGTCATGTTTTAGAAGATTGTAATCAAAATTTATTTTTTAAATTATTTTATGATGTGTGTCTCTCTTATAACATTACAGCAAAAAATGTGGCGAAAAAGCTTCAGAAGATCACTCCTGCATGAATTTTTTGTCATGTAGGTCAGACGGACATGCCCCTCTGGTTAGGCCCACAAAATCGCACTGGTGCAAACACTGTACATTACAGCGATAGGCATGCTTCTCTGCCGCAGCTAGTGCAGCCAGGCACATCAGCACGAATGACGAACACCACTGCCCACATGAGCTGCCTCATCACAAATGTAATAACAGCTTTCCCATCCCTCACCTGACGTTGTTGCAAAGAGTGCTCACAATGCGAGTCAGTTGAAGGATAGTGAGCGTGTCAGCGCGACCTTCCAAAGGCATCAGGCAGCCGTGGAAATAGTGCAGGAAGTGCTTCAGAGCACCAACGAAGGCCTGCCATGTCAGGCCTGCAACACGAACGAGAAGACATGATCAGACTAGAGTGCTGGTTGGTACATGGAACCACCCGTCAATGGCAGAGGCGAACCTGGCTTACAACCAAGGCAGCACATGTACACTCGTGGGACACGAACATATGTTATGGAGAAGACAACATGGCATAGGAGCACTATCAGAGACACACGTCACCTTCTCTGTTGATGCATAGGACATGTGCTCCTCGCTCAGTTCACTGCACAGAAATGTTAAAGGGGCAGTAAGCAACCCAAAAAACTGTTATGAAGAGAATTATGTGCACTTTTGCTCTGTGAACATGCTGCCGCAAGAATTTTGCAAATACGTGCTATAATTAGAAGTTACAAATAGGGCTTAAAACATCGGTTGCAGCTGGTTTCAAATTTTCACGCAGTCACCCTTTTCCCTCACAGGGAAGGAAAGGCGTAGCCCATAGCCCATTGTTGTGACTGGTTTAGACAAATTGACAAGCTGCGTGCTACATCAAGTGGCCGATTGGCGACTGTGCATCACTGCACATGAAAGGAGAGTTGGTCAGGCATAGGAAACAAGCGCGAGAATTGTTTGTTTTTCGAAATGGAGGCTCTGCAGTGGCAGTGCAGCGCTATAATATTCGAAAAACATGATTGCGGCGGTCTCTTCTAGAAATTGCAGAGTTTCTTTGGGAGGGTGTAAAAAAAAGGTCGGAGCCTGTTGACTGACCCTTTAAACTTATGACCGTTGTTGTCTCTCCCACACCCTTTTGTGAGCCACCTTGTATGGAATGAAGTTTTGGTTTAGTAAGCTAGTGGTTGGTATGCCTTTGACAGGTGGTTCACTCTACTTTTTGTTTTTAATTAGCCATTTTAGCACGGTGGTGGTGCCCTCGAGCGACACTTAAATGGATAGTCATAAAGCTGTGATGTTAATAAACAAAGGGTGCGCAGACGCAGCTCTACAGAGTAGTAAAAAAAAATTTATTTAGAAGCCACAGATGCAAATACTTTGCACAAAGAAATAAGATTTGTATTTCTTTGCGTGAAATAACTGCATATGCGGCTTCTAATGGAACACTAACCGACTAGCCCAACAATGTGTACTTCTGCAAAAGGGTTCCTATGTAGTGAAGTTTCCTTGGCCTAGTGCTGCAACTGACCATATACAAATGTGCTGCCTTCAATTTTGCAAACCACACACACTCAGAAGTCATCCTGTGTGAAAAGGTGATGGAGAACGGCAGCATAGAATGTTGGCGAATTGTGGATTAAATACACGCAGTAAGTTTTACAATAGTGCTACACCACACCCACTTTTGAGTAGTGATTATTGAAAAAGGATTGTTAGCAATAACACAAGCCACGTGCACCTATCCCTATAGGCATGATTTTGTAGTGGCGATAGTTACACAAGTAACCAGTATTTGCATGTGAAAATGCAGAACTATTGCATAAAAGTGCAGCACCAGCTACACAAGACTTGAAACACGTTTTACGCGAGAAAAATGTTATAGAATCGAGGAGCATTCCATTTTGTTCACCCTACACTTCTTTGTCATAATCACCGATTGACCACAATTAACTTACTTATTGGCACACAAAAGAAAAAATGATAGCACAACAGCAAGATCTGCGACAAAGTGACTAACTTTTGGAAGGACGGAGAGCTGAGCTGGTTGGTATGAGATGTGCAAACACCAGAGGACACACTCGAAACGCTGACTAGCAATTGAAAAGAGAAAGTAGGCACACAAACTTATCTGTGTATGCTCAAGCAAGAGGCGATTACGTATCTAGTCTAGCATGCGGTGTGGTCAAAGAGACTGTTCGGGCACTCGAAGCATGAATGTGCTGTTCCTATCATCGATATGCCACTCCTGTACCATCTAATACGTTTGTTTATTCCTGTGTCAATGCAGCATTGTGCATTCATTGAACAATGTCAAGACAGATTAACCATCGATTAACCTGCATAAAGAAGAAATCAAGCGTCTGAATAGCTATCTCTCAAGTAGACCCCTGTACTCATGGCATCCACCTATTGCATAAGAAATCACCGATAAGTTTCCATGCCTTCTTTCTTTTGTCGCCCATCTCCAGTGGTCAGTTAGCGTCTTGTGGCACTTCTCTCTCATGTCCGTGTTTGCACGCCCTGAGTCATGTTCAACAATCGCATTTGTCAGAGGGACGAGGCGTGTGTGTGCTACAGATGTGGATTCGATTAAATAGAAACTGCGATAAAGTTACTCCACTACATCTCACAGAAATTAAAGCGCTTTTAACAGAGACAATATTGGGGAAATAAAAAGCTTGTTACTCAGAAGATTTCAATAAATTGAGGTTTGTAGTATTGAGGTTTCGCTGCATGCTCAAGTTTTTAGAAAAGCATAGCTTTGAATGGGTGCCAGCATGTTGATCTTTGTGCAAAAGTGAATGAGCACAGAGGAGACTCACCAGGCTTTGCATTGCTGGAAGTTAGGTCTTCTAGAAAGCGGATGTCTCTGCCGCATTCCAGAAAGTTGCTCAGTGATGCAGAAAGGGCTTCGGATGAAGTGCCTTTGAGCCGTGCACGCTCCTGGATGCTGAATGTTCGTGGCACCTGGGCAAATTGCGCTGGCGTGAATTGTACTATCATTACTTCAGTGGCAGTATGTAAGTGAAACATTCCACACTGCCTAGAACATGAGAAGATCAAATTGTATCGGTATGTATTCCTCACAACTCTACTGTTTCAGCAGAGCAAGTGCACACCACATTTGATTTTCAAACAACCCGACACTAAGTATTCTTTTTGTTGCTCTTGTTCTCTACAGGGAATCTGAAGACATTAATATAGAACATGTCTAAACCATGTAATGACCATATTATTGTATATGCAATGCTCAGAATCAAATTTCTGAATGAAACACTAGTAACTAAGCATTTTTCATATGATAGGATAAGTTCTTGGTTGGAAAAATAGGTCATCAAATTATCTCCTCATGAAATTTTTAGCATAATTTATTTTTGTACTACTATTATTCGCCATGCATGAAACAAAATAAAAGTTAACCAATTTACATTTACTATGTTTGGGATGGAAAGAACCCATCAAACTCGCTATTGCTCCGCACTTATACAAGTTACATTTTAACATGCACCTTCACGCCCACAGCAACATTCCAAACTCATTGACAACAAGGTTAGTCCTAACCCTACAAGATGGCTCACACTTTAATAATATCTCGGTCCTCTATTAATTGATTATTATTAAACACAAAGCAAACAAGAAAAGCTCATCACACGATTTGATTAAAGATGGGCCAAAGTGTTGCACAAGCTGGTTTTCTTTCCCTGATGCAGGGGCCACTTGCACACGTGTGGCTGCAAAGCAGCAGCAATCTTACTTACACGCATCTGGTGGGCCTATTCACCTGCACCTTGCAATTCATGTTTAGAGCTGTGTTTGTGCCTACCTCAGAGCACTGCAGCTGCATGATTGCTGAATGTGTCGTGCACTACTGTTAATCGGTTCCGAGTGACGTGCAACGCTGCTAGGCTCTTCTTCAGCTTTAACTTGAGACACCCACAAGGAAGTGGTGTCTTTCAGTAGGAATAACCTTAACGTGGAATGCCAGGCAAACAACAATGCAGCAAACCCCACCGTGTGAAAGAAAACAGATGCGGGGCTCCGTGGGCTTCATAACGTTAAACCTCCGAGATGCTGATCCCCATGCACTGTGAGAATAGATCTTTGCAAAGCAGGTGGCGCACAAGATGCTCAAGTATTCTTGTCGTGCATGTCACTTCTGTTTTTCATACACTCATAATATCATGCTAGGCAAGCTATGGCATATATAAAGCCAACCACACATTCATGTGAGCACGAACAAGCAAGCCCTTCATCATGACTGACATGACATGCATGTCATGTTTTTTTATACATTATCATCACATTATGGAAATGTTGTAGTTAAAAAGTGGCCTTCATGGCCCAAAGACAATGGTAATAAGCCAGCTCGTTGGGCTGATAACGCGTTGGACGCACGGCAGCAGATGCTGAAAAGCCACTTCCGGCACCGTCGTGTTCAGGCTAAACAAAATACCCAAGAGCACTGGTGATGCAGACAAATCAAAGCGCCCTAATGTGGTCTTGTTGTCAGCACCTGTAGCTCTCTGTGCTGTTGATGTTCCACACTTTGTCTTGTAGACAATCAGCAAATGCTAAACAAGCCAGGATCACTGGTGGCTTTGTGAGCACCGTCTTCCTGAGAGCCCCGTGAGAGAAGTTACAACCACTTTGGAGACGCATCCAAGTTATGGAGAAGCCCTTGCAGTTTGATGCAACACACTTGTGACAAAGAGTGCTTATCGCATGGGAATCTGTTGACGTCTTCGCACAAATTCTGCCATACTTGTTAATCTGACTGGTAAGATTGTGTTAACTGTAACATATACAGCTAGTAAAACCTTGCTACATGTAATGTACTGCTATCATTAGTGCTGGATATGGCATATCTGTCGTATTGTGCCACCTCTGGTGTCATGTCAACACACTAGTGCTGTTTGTACATGTAGCTAGACGGAGCAAAGTCTCCACTATGCCTGCTTTCGGTAGCCAACCTTGCATGGCCATGCAAGTAATGTGACCCTTGTCACACCGGCGAACCACCCCTCATCCGCTCTTTAAAAACGCCTGCAATAAATGTGGGAGAAGACCCTCTCGCCTGAAGGCTGGCACACTGCATACTCACGCTTGACGCCGGCATGTGGCACACCCGTTTTGGGTCAAAATTGGGCTTTAGATTGCTTCTAAAAATTCTGGTCAGACCCAGATCATAAAACACAAGCACTGTGACAAGAGTAAGAAAATTCAAAAGTAAGTGAGGCTCGAACCGTCGATGCACACTGCAATGCGAAGCAGACACACTACACTTAAACTTTATAAGAGGCATGCTCCGGGTTGTTGTCCCTTATAAGCAGGGTAGACCCATATTTTATTGCAGGTCCACAACAGGCGCCTCTTATACAGGGGTTCAACTGTAACTGATTCTGGTGGCCTGTCTTTCCATCACCTTGTGTAGAAATGCACATTTCTGTCTTTCAGTGCTCGCAACAAAATAACAGAACTAAACTCATACTAAACTCATTTCTTATGTATGGCCAAAATCATTGATTGATATGTGGGGTTTCACCCCCCAAAACCACCATATGATTATGAGAGATGCCGTAGTGGAAGCTCCGGAAATTTCGACCACCTGGGGTTTTTAACGTGCACCCTATGGCCAAAATCAGAACGTCTATCTGGCACGTTTTGTTGGAAAACGTGTCAGCGTAACCGCAGATGCAAGCTGTATTGAACTTCCAAGCGAACTTCCATGCCCACTAGCTCAAGCGTACACAGGTGCACCGAGTTCAGCAGACGACAGTTGGCCTCTACAGGAAGTGCACCACCTTTTCGAAAACTCACAACCACGGTTTTTTCATAATTCAGCCTGTTTAATTCGCTACAAGAACTGTTATAGACATTGTCAACGAGAACAAGTGCACCTAATCCAAACATCACTCTCGATTCATGTCGGCCAATAATCTTTTGTGACATCGGATAGGAGAAGCCTGACGTTGGATGACAGACACCCGCTCATGGATGGGAGTGAGAATGGGCCTCTACTCAAAAAGAGGGCGCCTAAAAGAACAGCAAGTTCGCGCTCCACTTGTAGCCTTTACGCGGCGCACAAGGCTGCAAAATTTGGCTGTTCATTGCCGTGTCTGCTTTTCGAAGAATGGGTTACTTCAAAAATCCTGAGGAGGGCTTCATGGCCCCTTTAATGTTATGTGCACACCTTGAAACCTGGTTTGCTCAAGCATGCAACAGTTATTTACTTGGAGGTGTTTTTAAAACCCTTCTGTTCCAGAGCTTGTATGCCAACTGCTGTTTAAGGCCAACTGGCAGTTCTAATAGGATAGCAGCACTTAGCAAATATTATTGCTCCGCATGTTTTCAATGCACATTTTAGCAGGTAGTTAGCCTGCATCATTACTGAAGAATGCGTAAGCACACCATCTTCGCTGAGTAAGAGCTGTGCCTTGAGGAGATGTTTGATTGATTTGATTAGTACCTTACCCACTTTTTGATCACTCCACAGCTGTCTCCTTTGTCCCACACCTGTCACTAGTAACCATGTCACCGAAAGTCTTCAGTAATATTGAATAAGCACACAAAACTCTAAAATATTGTTACGTAAAAATGACACAAAGCGTGTCTATTTAAAATCTATATTCAAACTGATGCGTATGGCGTTGACTAAGATGGAAGACAGCACGCACAACCGCCAGACCACTTCCTCGTTCTCGTCTTCTGACCCCTGATATGTCAGCTACGTACCATTACCCCCCGGCGGTAAAAGCGCCGTCTCGGTGCACATTAACTACGGTCTTCAGTAGGCAAGTGGTAAGGTTTTAGCCTGCTGACGTGCACAACATCACTGGGTGTGGTTGCAGGCAGGCTTGTGGTCTCAGATGCAGGAATGATCTCATAGATGACGTCGGTTACCTGGCGGTTGATACAGTAAGGACCCATGTTGCGAGACAACTTCTCTGATAAGCCAACTCGACGAACTGGGCACCACAGGAGAACAAGACAACCGGGTGAGAAGTGAACGTCAGCATGCCGGCTGTTGTAGATGGCTTTCTGGGTGGCTTGCGAAGCCGAAAGTCTAGAGCGGGCGATCTGACGTGCGTAATCGGCACGAGCAATAGCGTCGCGTGCATATTCGGTTGACAACGTTGTAGTGGTTGGAAGTAGGGTGTCGAGTGGTAACATCGAATCACAGCCATAAAGCAAATAAAAGGGTGAATAACCAGTAGTGTCGTGGTGCGAAGAATTGTACGCGAAGGTCACGTGAGTTAGCGCCAGGTCCCAGTCATGGTAATCGGAGGACACATACATCGCGAGCATGTCCGTGAGGGTCCGATTTAGCCGTTTGGTAAGGCCATTTGTTTGGGGATGGTAGGAAGTGGTCAGCTTGTGGTGCGTCGAGGAAGAGCGTAGAAGATCGTCGATTACACGGGACAAAAATGCGCGGCCGCGATCCGTGAGTAATTGGCGAGGAGCGCCATGGTGTAGGATGACGTCGTGGAGCAAAAAGTCCGCAACGTCAGTAGCGGTGCTGCTGGGGAGCGCTCGAGTGATGGCATACCTAGTCGCGTAGTGTATAGCAACGGCGACCCACTTGTTGGCCGATTTCGACTCGGGAAAAGGACCGAGAAGATCTATACCAACACGAAAAAAAGGTTCGGTTGGGATGGAGATCGGTTGAAGAAGTCCAGCCGCGGGCGCAGTAGGTCGCTTCCTACGTTGGCATTTATCGCATGAGGACAAGTAACGGCGAACGGACCGGGCGAGACCGCGCCAAAAGAAGCGGCGACGCACGCGGTCGTACGTCCGAGATACACCCAGATGACCAGCAGTTGGTTCATCGTGAAGCTCGTGCAGCACGGTTGAATGCGAATTTTTCGGCACGACAACAAGGAGCTCAGGGCCATCTAGATGGAGGCTACGACAGTACAGCGTGCCGTTCAGGAGGACGTACACGCGAAGTGACGTGTCGTTCAGAGGAG